CAATGTCATCTCCCATTCGTTTGTTCGTTCATTCATTCATTCATTCATTCATTCATTCACTCAGTGGATATTTATTGGGTATTCACCATGTGCCAAGTACTTTTTAAAGGAGTGGACTTAACAGTAAGCACATTACACAAGATCCCTGCTTTGTAGAGTCTGCATTCTCAGGCCTTGTGTTCCACAATGTCCGTGTACTATTTTACTTAATCCTATCAACAGCCCTGTGAGGCAGCTAGTATTATCCCCATTTTCCAGGTTAAGAAACTGAGACATTAAGTGAATTGTCCAGTGTCACACAGCAGGGTCTGAGGTCATCAGGGTGGAGGGACTCTATTGCATGGGCCCTGAGCTGTTTTGCTGGCCCCCTGGGAACCATGAGTGGGTGGCAAATGAATCGCACACGTCAGTTGCACATTTCTGTGGATTTCAGTGTGGCACGTGGGAGGCAGAACCTTCACACTGTGGCAGCTTTGGACATGAAGACCGGCCTCATGCTTGCTGTATTCTCTGGGCTAACTGGGAAGCATTTGGTTTCGGATCGGTGCCTTTCGATGAAGTGGGAGAAAAGTCACATCTCCAGCTAATACTTCTGTAGACTTCAGGATTTTCACACAGCTATTTTACATGCTTCATTTTCTTGTAGTGTTGCCTTCAAGTAGGACAGTTTTTAATGGCATTTTGGAAGTTCTATGTTATCTTAGCCCACATTTATTTACAGTGTTGCTTTTCTGTCAGAAACAGCAGACTAACACCCTTTTTGGAACATGAGCTTATTGTAGAGGCTTTTGCTCACTTGTGTAATTTCATCAAAGGTGGGTGTTTATATATGTGAGAGATTATTTAACCATTTGGGATCCTGTTTGGGTAAAAGTAATTTCTACCGAAACTGTTAACTGTTATTTATTATTATTACTATTTTATATTTCTGTTTTACCAGATGAAGCCCTTAGAAACGGTATGGATTATGAAGAAAGAGTGATGTTTGGTGGGATATTCTTTATGTGTTGTGCCTTTGACCTCAAAAGGGAAGAATATGGAAGGAGTTGAGTTTCTTGAATTTTAAGCAAAGGAGTTATTTCTGACAGCTAATATTACTTTAAAAAATTTATTTTTGAATCCACTTTTTCTTATAACTATAGATTAGTACATCCTTATTTATATATTTATTTTAGATATGTGTTACTATTCTCAACCCCATTTCATGATGAAGGGAATGGGATTCAGAAGACTTCTAAGTTACTGAGAGATGAATTGCTAACCCAGGTCTACTGGTTTTGAAGCTTGTGTATTTCCACTACACCCACTGGCTCATTTTTTTTATTAATTATGATTTGTCATGTGGTAATAGAGTGTAAGATAATTATGTCCTTAATTAAAATTGGGTTAGCAACAATTTTTGCTTAGTCTTGACTAGGCATATAGTAAAACATGGTATTTTTGTAAAATTTTAGCTTTATTGAGATATAATAGACATATAACATTGTAGGATATATGAAGTTTACATCATGGAGATTTGATATGCAAGGTATGATCAAACAATATGGTGAATGTTTAAATAAAAAAATTTATTGCAGTAAAAGACACATTGCTATTAATCCTGTTTGCTTCCAACACACTTATCCCATAGTTCTTGCCACTTTCTGAAGCAGTTCTGGAAGTCCTCTTTCTTGAGTGTCTTTAGTTGCGCTGTAGCGGCTGCCTCAATGTCTTGAATCGATTCAAAACGTTCGATTCAAAACGTTTGCCTTTCATGGTCATTTTGACTTTGGGGAAGAGCCAGAAGTCACACGGTGCCAGATCCAGTGAATAAGGTGGATGAGGACACACTGCAATGTTTTTATCTGACAGAAATTGCCATATACCAGAAGTGATATGTGACACGAAGCATTGTCATGATGGAGGATGAAACCATTTGCCTATTTCATATTAATGCACTGTTCATGATCCATGATTTTATTATACACTTTAAAACACACCTTCTCTCAACCGTAGCTCACACCCAACTGACTGCACCAAACAAGTTGAAACTTGTCACACACTGTTACTAAGGTTTGACGCACATCTTCCCGTATTGAAGATCCTGCCTTTCCATTGGATGGAATTGCGGAAGGGGAACAGCCAAGTTGTTGTCCTTCAATCTTAGTTGTGGGGGCACAGCAAGCTCAGCTCCAAGTCCATTTGCACCACTCAGCTCAAGGTGCTGTGTTCAATTAGTTGCGAGTGGGCATAGCCACCATCCCATGTGGGAGTGGAACCAGCAGCCTTGTTGTTAAGAGCATGTGCTCTATCCACTGAGCCAACCAGATGGCAGCTTAGCTAAGGGTGCTGAGTTCGGTCTTAGTTGCGGACGGGCGTAGCCCACGATCTCAAACAAGCAACCTTGTTGTTAGGAGCATGTGCTCTCACCAGCTGAGTCATCCTGCCATCTGTTGGCAGCTCACTGGCAGCTCAGCTTGGGCGCAGCGCCACTGGCTCATGTGGGAATCGAACCGGCGACCCTGTTGCTCAGAGCTCGCACTCTTGAGCAAGTTCTTAACCAACTGAGCCACTCGGTCGGCCCAGGCTTTATCATCATATAGGTGAAAGTTTGTACCCTTTTACCAGCGTCTCCCTATTTCCCCTAGTTCCTGACAACTACTTTTCTACTCTCTGTTTCTAGGAGTTTGACTTGCGTGTGTGCATGTGTGTATGTATATATGTATGTATGTGTATGTCATTTCCCCAAAACCTTTTATTAAGAGAATTTGCAAAAATACAGACAAGTAGAAAGAATTATATAGTGAACAATAAGCTTACCACTTGAATGCTATAATTTTTACCATTTTGCTATATTTGCTTCTCATGTCATTTTGCATTGTAAGTTTGAGACTGGGATACTTCTTAAGTAGTAATTTACATAATTCTGGGAGATCTTTGCCAAGGAATTTAATTTTAGATGACTGTTAACACATATGTCCTGTTATATTATCTCAGCATGAAGCATTAGGTAAAGTCTAGTTTTATGATTTGGACATATGCTGGGTTTTGTGCTTTTAGGATGGAGTGCTAAGCTGAGAGTATTTTACTGTAGTTGGGCAGAGTCTAAAGAACTTGAAAAATCTTACATAGTTTGAAACCCCAAGTGACTTTATAAACTCATAGAACTAAAGTTACTTGGGTGACTTCAGTGATAAAAAATGGAACCAGACAATGCAAACCCATTGGCAGTGTCTGAAGAATGTTGGAGATAGTTCAGTCTTACAGGCAGTTCTGGCGAACAGATACGTACACATAAAATGTACCAAAAGGTCAGGATTGTGTTAAATCTAGAAGCAGGAATAGAACAGGGGCATACAAATACTTCCATGCAGTTACTTGTTCTTCTGATATTTTTTCATCCTCAGAAGCACATCTCTTTAAATTTCCTTCTTCCTTCTGACATAATTCCTCTCCTCTCTTCGTAGCAAGGAGTAGTTCTTGTCTCAAGGTTATATGGAAGAAATGTGCTTGTTTTATGATTGCCAATATTTTGCTTTACTTTTTGTTAGCAACAGAAATGATGTTGAGGGATCTAAAGGAACAGGAGCTCAAATGACCCAAGAGCGTTCTTTCTTCTTCTGTTTTTACCCAGAGTATTTTTTTTTAAACACACACACACACACACACACACACACACACACACACATCAAATTAACATTTTGGGAATTCCCATGTTTTCTGTTATGTGACTTGGCTTCTGTGGCAACCTTCTGACTTCAGCCCTGGGGGTTGTGGTTACTTGGGTGGCATGTCCTGGCTCTGCTGCCTGCTGCTGACCAGCTGTGTGACCTTGAGCAAGTCACTTAAGGTCTCCGTTTCCTGATCCATAAAGTGGGGGGATTGGGTTATGCAATTTTACAGGTCTACTCCACCAGGATTAAAAATTCCTTGGTTCTGTGTTCACCTGTAAATCTTTTGTGGAGATTCGATTAGTTCTTAGAATTAGTGGACTGGCGATCTTATGTAATGGCTCTTCTTACTTGCCGATTAAAATCAGAAAGTGTACCTTTAAGCATGTGTTAACTCCATGAAAAAAAATTCTGCTAGTGCGCGTGAGTGTACCCATACGTATAGATGTATATATGTGTACTTAATGACTCATTTTTCTCCAAGATAAGGAATTAAAAGCTTATATGTCTAAGGTACAATCTAGTCTTTAATATTAAGTAAGAATCTTGTCTTTTGCAAATATAGAGTCACATTTTTAAAATAATGAAAATATTACCTGAAAAAGCTGTTGTCACATATTTGTCCAGGATAACTTAAAACGTCTGCTTAAACTATTTTCTTTTGTACAATATAATTTCAAAATTTTAAACACTAAGGAGATGTAATCCTGTTCTCCCACGTAGCGCCTCCTCCCCAGTAACTGATACAAAATACCCTGAAAATGTTGCTTTCTCTTTTGGGTATATTTCAAATTGAAGGTCTTGCATCAAAAGATGCAACAAAACTTAAAAACCCTTGGACCTCTGGTCTATTACTTTTTAAAGGCAACTGAATGCATATTTTTGATAAAATCATGACCTGTTGGGACTCCAAAGATTGCCAATGTGCAGAGCACTACAGTTCAGCTAACTTAAAAAATGAAATAATTCCGGCAAGGAACCTAGAGTAAGTGTACACCCGATATTTTGCAAATCACAAAATTATTTCGAAGGGCTGCTCCTGAGGCCGGGTTGTTATGACCGCACCGTTCCAGCTGTGGTTTTGGAGACAGAATGTTTACTGCCACTTTAAATGCAAGGACAGTCAGTAGGTGTGTATTCTGACTGCAAAAAGGCTTAAAAAAGCAGCTGAGGCTCCCTTCAAGTGAGTAAACCTTTATTCGGCACACCCTCGAGCCGCGTTCCTATGGAACTTTGGTGGTAATTCTGGAATGTGGGTCCAACAGCAGCGCAGTCATGGGTGAGCCTGGCGGCTCCAGGGCCGGATGGCAGGCTGTCCCGGCTAATCGCTTCAGGCAGCCCATGGAAAACCACTTTCTGGTTAAGTCTGCATCACACTCTTCCACCAATGGAAAAAATTGAACATGATGAGGGTGTGTAGCTAGCAGACAAAAATATATCCAGCATTGCACAGGATCTGTTTTTAGCTCTTAACGGCTGAGTCTTTGAGTGTTAGATGCTTTTCCTGCCTGACCGTGGGGCAGAGAGAAGAGAGAGTTCAGGGATGTGCATAGAGACCTTGACTTCGTGAAACTGTTTCTGCTCATTTAAGCGAGTCTGAGGAAAACTGGCTACATCCAGAGTTTTGGCAAAGGTAAGGTTATAAATGTTTAGCTCCCCAATTCTGGAGTTGAGACGTAATTTTATATGTGAGATACTAATGTTTTTTGACATGCTCCTTTTGGCAATATTTCATCGTGTGCTGACTTTTCTTTGTTTTACATTATTTGGTATGTAGGCTACAGACATTGGTGTGCGTAAGGGACTAGTACCTTTACATTTAAGTGTCTATACGCTTTTAAACACCTAGTGACTTAAATTTGAGTGTCTGTACCCTTTTAATCGCCTAGTGATTTATATAGTTGTCCACCCCATTTTACTACTTAATTCTCCAGAAGCTGATGGTATATATTGTGCAGATTTGTTTTTCCTGGTCTCTCAAGAAAGTACCAGCTTTCAGTCTGATCATGGTAAGGCACGAATGATTATTCCCTTGTAAACCAGGCACAAAAGGAAATTAAAATGGGGCAGAGTTTGTATTTTGCTGTTTCCTGGTTATTATTTAACCTCACCAGGCTTTCGTTTTGAGCTGAGTGAGCTACTTAGTTGAAGAGTTGCTTTTCAAAACTGGTAATTTGAGGTTCACTGTTTATTAAAGTTTGCCCTTAACTTTTTGTCTCGAGCTTTCTGAAAAAGACATGGAACGCCATGTAATATGAACGTGAGGGTCACCTTGTTTAAGCAGAGTGATGGATTCGTGTGCTCAGCCCACAGGCTGCTCATTCATTAGGCATTTGTCTCCACACCGAGCTTATCAGCAGAGATTGAAAAGGCTGGCTTGGCATGCTACTTCCTCCGCTTTATGTTCATTTGGCCAAGCATGTAATTCTCAGAAAATTGGTAGGTGGAGAGACAGAAATAGGAAGCTTTATTGAAGTTGTTGTAACTTGGGAGATTATTTATAGGATTTCTGGAGAGTAAGGGTACAACCTAAGAGCTGCTAGAGGTTTTCCTAACACGTTGAGGCATTTCACTGTGGCCCCTCTGTCTCACTCAGGGATTCTGAAGTTTTAAACTCACTTTCAGTATGATGAGATTAGGGGCGATGTCAGGGTGGGCAGTGTGTGTTGCTTCTCAGTGTGTCTTCTGTGTGGATGTATTGTGCATCGTCAGTTCCTTCACTTCCTTACAGAAATGCCTTTTAGGGATGGAGGAGTGGTGAGTGATGTCCAGGAAGGTTAGAATTCATAGAGGCATTGGTAACATTTTATTTATTACTTTTCCTGTGGATCTAGAATGTGCTGCTGTGGCAGAGCTGGCAACTGTTTAGAGCAGGAATAGAGCAAGAACTGCCTTCTTCTCTAGTCAGATAACACTAGTCAACTACTTTGATTTTTACTGGAATTCATAGACAGAAACTGAAGTCTGTTAAAGAACCTTATGACTGCATTCCATACTTACTAGACTGTGCATAATGTTTTGAATGCAAATAGATAATACCTTTCCTTCGATATTTTAGCTCAGAGGGAGTGACTTGCGAAGCCCTCCCCTTAGACGGCCTATTCCAGGATGCCTGGAAGTGCACGATAAGAATCAGGCTCCTCGCCAAGAGATGATCCTTCCGAAGTGGTTCCCCACTTAGCCATTAAGTAAAACAGATGATTCTGTCTTGGTGGTCCAAGATTGTGTTTGAGAAGAGCCATATTCCTTTTTCAGAGATTTAAGGTTAGTGCAGGGTCTCTACAACCTCCTTCTAACACAGATATCCAGTGGGTGTGGGAGGAACACAGAGGCAAGCGTAAAGGGAAAGCCCGCACTCCTTAGATACCTGATGGGACACGTGTCTGTGTCTGCATGGGCCTCCAGGTTTGGCCCACTTTGTAAGATTCATTTACGTGGACATAATAAATCATATTAGTGACATCACTTAGCTCAACTGTTAGATTAAAAAAAAATCATGTCCTTTTTATGGAACATTTAGAACAAAGGCTTTTGGACATTTAAAACAATTTTAAGTGATGATTGGTATTTTTCATTTGAAATTAAGTGTGTCTTAGGTAACAGCCAAGATAAAAATGGCTTTACTAGTAGGACTGAAAAAAAAAAAGATTAGGGTATGGAATTGGAAAAAATAGCAACAATATTAGAGAGAGGGAAGAGTAGTAATAATAGTAGTTGATAAACCTGAATTTCTGACTGTTGACTCACAAAACTACTTAACATCCTGTTTATAATTGTTTGAATTCTAGTAATGATTTGGGCGGAGTGTCTTTGATTAGTCAGTCCTATCTAAAATGGGCTTATAAGTGTTGGGAGGGTTTATCGTCAGTGTCCCAGAAATATATTCTACACTCGATTTTTAGCTACTTACAGTCCATAGTATTATTATAGAGCGGAAAAGCGGCCTTAGACAGTTTCTAAAATGGGAAAACTGAAAAACTAAGGAACTGAAGCGGCTTGTCCAAAGTTACTGAGATGATTAGTTGCTGATGGGGAATAAGATACCAGGTATCCCATCAGCCCCTTCCTTACACCACCTGTTTGATTGCAAATACTTTGGCATATCCTGATAGATCCTTGTAAATGATAGAGACAATTATATGTATACATATGTATGTATATGTGTGTGTGTGTATATATATATATATATGTATATATATATACATATATATGTATATACGAGTATCAATGTATCTATCCATTTCCTTCCTTTCCTTTTATCTATCCTCCCTCCCTCTCTTCTTTCCTTGCTTTCCTCTACTTACCTGCCTACTTACCATACCAGACAGATTTAAATCTCTAGTCAGAGACAAGACAAAGACTTGTTTTTCCTAGATCCTAATGAACTTCAAAGCTGTACACTCAGTTGGTGGCTGTCATTCCCATTGATTGTTGCCGGAGAGAATTCCAGGTGCACATGTGTTACTGTAACCTATGGCGATAGGCAGCTTTGATTAGCCTTCATCTGCCAGCCTGTTCCTGTTTCACCCTTAGTTGAAGAGTTCTGTTTTCTTCATGATTCCGTTCCAATAGAAGACTGTTTAGTTTTCGTTAGTTGTGTGCCTGACAAGAGATAGACCATGGAAGGAACAGAAAACCAGCAGACAGACTTTAGCCAAGATAATGTAAGGCAATTTTGGAAAAATGAACTTTACGTATAAAGTGATGGATAAAGTTATTGTTTCACTCTGGGATAGGGATGGGGTAGGTGCTGCAGATAGTGTCAGGGAGAAGTAGATCCAGGGCGTTCCTGGGACTTAAGTAAAGGTTTAAAAATTGTGGGTTTTTTAGGACAATATTGGAAAGCGAAAATAATTCTTATCCAGTTTTTGTACTCGGCCATGACACACCTCCATAGCTGTGGAATTGTCAGAGTAAGATTTCTAAAACAGAGATGTGCAAAAGGGCTAACGTGGTATGGAGTTTACAGGCTGGGAAAGCGAAAAATCCATATGGCTAAAGTCAATTGAAAGAAACTCTGAATGGGGAGAATGAAAATAGATTTGTTTTCAAGCTGTCCGTAGCCACTCCTGGGAGGTGGAGAAAGACATCTTAAAGACAAATGAAAGGAATTATTATACAGAGACAGCCATAAACCAGGAAAACCCAAATATTACGAGGTAGTAGATGGTAAAGAGCTTTGTGAATATTGTGTGTAAATTCATGGAATACATACGCACTCAAATACGAATGTGCATATATTCCATTGAAAATTGATAGGATGATTACCAATGAATTAAAAACAGCCAGGCAAATCAATACAAAACAACAACAACAACAAAACCCCAGAAATAACGGGAACCTAGCAAAAACCTTCACTTACCTTCCCACCTCCCAACATGTGACTTATAGGGAAAAAAATAGAAATTCTAAGAAGACACAGTGATAAGCAGTTTACCAAAGCTTTCCTCAGTGGAATTGAAGCTGTCTTAGTCCTCATGTCCTGCCACACGCATATATTGTTAGTCAAATGTTTCTTCTGTACTGTCTCGAATAGTAGAGGGTGGTTGTTCTTGGGACAGTTTATCCTCACGCATATGAGAGTCTTTCCACTTTGGCTACTCCAAGACATCACGAGCCGTGGCCTCTCTCCACTGCCGTATCGGTGTTCTCGCCAGTCATTCCCATTTGCATGCTGGGATTTCTCGAGATACACAAACACGGGACAACAACCACCACTTTTTTTTTTCTAAATTTCTCTATCCTTCTAGCTATCGTCTGATTTCATTGTGTTCCCCATTATAGAAAAACTCCCTGAGCAGCTTATCTCTGTTTGCTTTCTTCAATTTCATTGACCTCATCCTCAAACTCACTCCAACTCAGCTTTCTCCGCTCCCACTCTGCTCTGGTCAAGTTCACACATAACCTGCCGGGCTCTGTTCTGAATCCTCGTTAGCTGGACTATCAGCTGCATTTGACTCCCGCTCAGGCTCCTCCCTGAAATGCCCTTTCTGGGGCAACATAGTCACTCGGTTTCCTCTTCACTTGCTTCACTGACAGTTCCTTCTGGTCCCTCCTGTGTTGGTCCTCTTTCCTTCATGTTGGAGGACTCCAGGGCCTCTTGGACTGCTTCTCTTCTCTTTGTGTACTTGCCCCTTGGAGAGCTCATCCAGTGTCTGCTTTACACACCACCTTCATATGGATGGTCGCAAGTTTGTACCTCAGGCCCATCTCGCTCTTGAACTCTAGGCTCCTCTATCCAACGGTCTACTCAACATTTCATGTCCAACAGACATCTCAAACCTGACCCATGCAGAACCCAGCTCCTTGTCCCCCCAGCCTGCTCTGTGTTGCCTTCCCCATTCTTTCACTGGCTTAGCCTGAAAATTGTGGCCTCATCCCTGACCTGTCACCACGCACCCATCTACCTGGGAATCCTACAGCTGTATCCAGACTCAGACCATTCCCTACCACTCCCGCCTGACTCCGACCCACGTCACCGCTCACCTGAATTAGCATAACGGGCCCTCCAGTTCCACTTCGCTGCCAACAGCCCAGAGCCACAGGATGGCCACAGTGGGCCTTTTGAAATATGCCCCATGATGAGCCTTCTGTAGCCCCAGCCCTCTAATCATGACTTTCAATCTCAGTGTG